AGAAAATCAACACATTCAAAAATTGGCAAAACGAAAAATTGAATATCGAAAAATATAAAACTTCAAAAACCTATAAACAAAATTTTAAAAAACTAAAAATTCAAAAACATTGAAAAGATGAAAAACTGAGAATAAAAAAATCGCAGAAGCAAAGTCTGAAAAATCTAATTAAAAAATCGAAAATTTGCAAAAACGTAAAATTGAAAGAAATAAAAAGTTAAAAATCGAAACTGAAAAATTCTAAATTTGGTTAAAGGGTAAAAAATGGAATATTTGAAAATAGTAACACTGAAACTCGGAAAAGTAGAAAAATTGAAAAATCCTAACACTAAAAATTCGAAATATTGGTGAGTCGAAAAACCAAAAAATAGAAATTCTAAAATTTAAAAATTAAAGAAACGAAGACTTGAAAAAATAAAAAATAAAAAATCGATCACTGAAAAATAAATAATGCTGGAAAAATCGAGAAAATGAAAATTCTAAAAACTGAAAAATTTAAAAGTGAAAACTCTAAAAATTCCAAATGAAACAATTCAAGGAATAAAAAAATTAAAAATATTTTAAAAATTGAAGAATTAAAATAACCAAACTTTGAAAAATTATAAAACTACAAAAATGTAAAATTGAAATATCGAAAATTTGAAGAAATGAAAACTTGAAAATTGAAAAATAAAAAATCTATAACTAAAAAACCGAAAAATGAAATGACTAAAAATCGGAAAAGTTAAAAAATTAAGAATCGAGAAAATGAAAATTCGATAAACTGAATAGTCTATAAATTGAAGGAATCGACAAATCGAAAAATCAAAATTGAGCATCGGAAAATCCAAAAATTGAAAACTTAAAGGCCCAAATTTCAAACTCCAAAATATCCAAATTTAGAAAAATTTGAAATACTGAAAAATTAAAAATCGATAACTTAAAAATCCGGAATGTCGAAAAATTAAAAATCGAAAAAATGAAAATTCGAAAAACTGAAAAATCTCTATATTTCCACAAATTCAGAAATCGGCGAATCAAAAAATCGAAAATTGAATATTGAAAAATTTCAAAATTAAAAACCTAAAGAATCGATAATTACAAAAAACGGAGAAGTGAGAAATTTATGAATCGAAAATCGGAAAATGGAATATGTAACAAGAAACTAAAAATTGAAGAAAAATTTGAAACATTTAAAAATGGAAACTTGAAAAATTGACAACAAATTAACAAATTCTAAAGTCGAAAATTGAAATAAAAAAATCGATAATAAAAAAACGGGAAAGCCGAAAAATAAAAAAAAGAGGAAATGAAAATCCGATAAACTGAAAAATATTGATAAAACGGCAAATCGAAACATCGAAAACTGAATATCGAACAATTCAAAAATAGAAAACCCAAAAACCAAAATTTGTAAATTTAAAAACCAACTTGAAAAATTCAAAAGTTGAAAAATTGAGAAATCGAAACGTCCAAATTTTGATATATCGAAAAACTGTAAACTTGAAAATTCCAAAAATTCCAAAAACGTAAAGTTGAAAATCAAAAAATTGAAGAAACGAAAACTTGAAAAGTTGAAAAAGCAACAAATTCAAATACTGGCAAATCGCATAGTCGAAAATTGAATACCGGAACATTTTAAATTTAAAAAACCTAAAAGCCAAAATTTAAAACTAAAAAATCGAAAACTGGAAAAATGAAAACCTGAATAACCAAAAAAAATCAAAAATCGCGGAAACGAAAAATTTAAAAATATAAAAATTGCAAAAACGTAAAATGAACTAAATGAAAAATTAAAATTCGAGAAACCAAAAATTCTAAATTTGGATAAAATGGAAAAAATGGAACATTTGAAAAATTGTAAAACTGAAACTCGGAAAAATAGAAAAACTGAAAAACCGTAACATTAAAAATTCGAAAAATGGAATGCGGAAAAATTAAAAATCAAGAAAATGAAAATTCGATAAACTGAAAAGTCTATAAATTGAAGGAATCGACAAATCAAAAATCAAAATTGAATATCGAAAAATTCAAAAATTGAAAACCTAAAAACCCAAATTTCAAAATCCAAAAAACAATTTTAAAAATTTAGTTAAAAAATAGAAAGAAATATCCAAATTTTGAAAATTTGAAAAATCGAAAATTTAAAGAAACGAAGGTTTGAAATTCTGAAAAATTAAAAATCAATAACTTAAAAATCGGGAATGCCGAAAAATTAAAAATCGAAAAAATGAAAATTCGAAAAACTGAAAAATCTATATTGAAGCATTCCACAAATTCAGAAATCGGCAAATCAAAAAATCTAAAATTGAATATTGAAAAATTTCAAAATTAAAAACCTAAAGAATCGATAATTACAAAAATCGGAGAAGTGAAAAATTTATGAATCGAAAATCGGAAAATGGAATATGTAACAAGAAACTACAAATTGAAGAAAAATTTGAAACATTTAAAAATGAAAACTTGAAAAATTGACAATAAATTAACAAATTCTAAAGTTGAAAATTGAAATAAAAAAATCGATAATAAAAAAACGGTAAATCGAAACATCGAAAACTGAATATCGAAAAATTCAAAAATTGAAAACCTAAAAACCAAAATTTGTAAATTTAAAAACCAATTTGAAAAATTCACAAAAGTTGAAAAATGGAGAAATCGAAATGTCCACATTTTGATATATCAAAAAACTGTAAACTTGAAAAATCCAAAAATTCCAAAAACTTAAAATTAAAAATCAAAAAATGGTATAACTGAAAAAGCAACAAATTCAAATACTGGCAAATCGAATAGTCGAAAATTGAATATCGAAAAATTGTAAATTTAAAAAACCTAAAAGCCAAAATTTAAAACCAAAAATTGAAAACTGGAAAAATCAAAAACTGAATAATCAAAAAAAAATCAAAAATCGCGGAAACGAAAAATTTAAAAATATAAAAATTGCAAAAACATAAAATGAATTAAATGAAAAATTAAAATTCGAGAAACCAAAAAATTCTAAATTTAGATAAAATGGAAAAAATGCAACATTTGAAAAATTATAAAACTGAAACTCGGAAAAATAGAAAAACTGAAAAACCGTAACTAAAAATTCGAACAATTGATGAATCGAAAAACCAAAAAATAGAAATTCTAAAATTTAAAAATTAAAGGTTAAAAAAATTGCAAACCAAAAAAATTTATAAACCTAAAACCATTAATAAAAAGTTGAAAAATTGAGAAATTAAAATATCCAAATTTTGAAAAATTAAAGAAACGAAGACTTGAAAAATTAAAAAATAAAAAATCGATCTTTGAAAATCAGGAATGCCGGAAAATTAAGAATCGAAAAAATGAAAAATTTCAAATGAAACAATTCAAGGAATAAAAAAATGAAAAATATTTTTAAAATCCCAAAGTTGAAAAATTGAGGAATTAAAATATCCAAACTTTGAAAAATTATAAAACTACAAAAATGTAAAAATGTAAAATTGAAATATCGAAAATTTGAAGAAATGAAAACTTGAAAATTGAAAAATAAAAAATCTACAACTAAAAAATCGAAAAATTGATTGACTAAAAATCGGATAAGTTGAAAAATTAAAAACCGAGAAAATGAAAATTCGATAAACTGAAGGAATCGACAATTCGAAAAATCAAAATTGAATATCGAAAAATTCAAAAATTGAAAACCTAAAAATCCAAATTTCAAAATCCAAAACAGTTTTAAAAATTTAAAAGTTAAAAAATTGGGAGAAATACCCAAATTTTGAAAAATTGAAAAATCGAAAATTTAAATAAACGAAGATTTGAAATACTGAAAAATTAAAAATCGATAACCGAAAAATTAAAAATCGAAAAAATGAAAATTCGAAAAACTAAAAAATCTCTATTGAAGGATTCCCCAAATTCAGAAATCGGCAAATCAAAAAATAGAAAAATGAAAACTTAAAAAATTGACAATAAATTAACAAATTCTAAAGTTGAAAATTGAAATAAAAAAATCGATAATAAAAAAACGGTAAATCAAAACACCGAAAACTGAATATCGAAAAATTCAAAAATTGAAAACCTAAAAACCAAAATTTGTAAATTTAAAAACCAATTTGAAAAATTCAAAAGTTGAAAAATGGAGAAATCGATATGTCCACATTTTGATATATCAAAAAACTGTAAACTTGAAAAATCCAAAAATTCCAAAAACTTAAAATTAAAAATCAAAAAATGGTATAACTGAAAAAGCAACAAATTCAAATACTGGCAAATCGAATAGTCGAAAATTGAATATCGAAAAATTGTAAATTTAAAAAACCTAAAAGCCAAAATTTAAAACCAAAAAATCGAAAACTGGAAAAATCAAAAACTGAATAACCAAAAAAAATCAAAAATCGCGGAAACGAAAAATTTAAAAATATAAAAATTGCAAAAACGTAAAATGAATTAAATGAAAAATTAAAATTCGAGAAACCAAAAAATTCAAATTTGGATAAAATGGAAAAACTGAAAATTCAAAAAATTGATGAATCGAAAAACCGAAAAATAAAAATTCGAAAATTTAAAAATTAAAACTATAGACTTTATTGTAGTGTGTATAAAAAAAGCTTTGATGGCTTAATTGAGTTTCGTAACAGAACTGGTGAAATTTGTTTCCAAGATTGGTGGCCATTACAAATGTCATTGTCAAATAACAAATAAAATAAACATCAAATACAAATACATCCCGACGTTTTTCATACCAACCGTGACAAAATTCCCCAAAACTTTAAAAACATTGATTCCAAATGGGAAAAAAACCATTTAACGCTGCGTTGGATCGGAAGCCGATTTCTTCCTTCCTTTCCCTCACAATGCCACCCACACCGTAAAATCCCGTTACTGTTAACGACACCTCGAATCGAATTTCGCTGAATATCCATGTCAATGTTAAGTATCAACGTATCCGTAATGAAATCCCTCAACGTAACACCGCGAAAAAATCGAAGGTCACACTAAAAATAACAGCAATTGTCCAAACCGAGCCCCTTGAGGACACCCACGTAACTCACCGTGTAAAGGTCCAATCACCACCATCACGACCAACATGATCAGCATCACCTTGGTCCTCCTATTATTCTCCCCTTTCTTGAAAGCAACCGTGAAAGTCTCCCACAGGTGCCTCACGTCGAAGAAGTCCCTCACGAAAGCACAGGGTTTGTTATCTAAAGTCGGAACGTCCACCTTCTTGGCTTCTTTGAACCTGGTGATCCCGTAGTAGAGCGCCATGATGTACATAACCCCCGAGATGGAGAACACCCCGTAGAAACCGATTTTTTTGTACAGGACTCCGCTGAGAGCTAGCCCTATGGGCACCCCCAGGGAGCAGAAGACGTTGACGATTCCGATTCGTAATGTTCGCATTTCCACGGTAGTGACGTCAGCGATGTAGCTGAAGACCCCCATGAACATGGTGAACCAACCCCCGGTGAGAGCCGGGAAGAGACCTTCGATGAACCCCGCCACCTCCATGGGGAGTTCGTAGAAAAAAAACGTGCAGAAGATGAGCCCGATTACTGTACAAAGCTCCCCTACGATGGGGAGGAGCATGCAGGGTTTTCTCTGCCCCCAGCGGTCGCTCCACGACCCCACGAACATGATCAAGAACGCGGGTAAGGCGCTCTGGAGCATGGTTTTCCACACCCCCATGGAGGCCACCAGCTGCTGCACCGCCTCTTCCTCTTTGGTGTAGTTGGCGGTGTCGCGGATGCTCAGAGCGTCGCACACCTCCTTGGAGTAGCCGAGATTGACTCTGCAAGCTTTCTCCAGGTTCAGGTTTTGGGTGGCCAGGCTGGCGAACACGCTGGGGATGATGTAGCAGGCCAGCATGGGCTCCACGGTGATGTTGTCGATGAAGAACCGGTAGCGCTCCCTCCAGGTCATGTCGCTCATTTTCAGCTCCTTGATTGTGGAGGTCTTCTCAGCTTCTTGTTTCTTCTCCGTGGAGGTCTTGGTGGCCTTTGCCATCTTGGCGTGTAGTATCTGAAAAAGGGGGCTCACCTTGAGTGATAGTGCAAAAACGTGTGCATGACCGAAACTATCATTATTGTGTAATCTCACACATTCAAGGACTTGCAGGACCGAGTTTTTGCGATTTTGTGCAAAACATGTTTACGGTGGAAAAATGCGGTGAGTTGGTGATTATTTTACGCAATGACAATAAAGTGAGAGATATTTGTTTATTGTGGTGTTAATTTGTTCACTAGAAGATTGAAACGATTTTTTGATATCGTTTACAACAAACTCTAAAAGTTGACGTCACCTCGAGCTTTTAGTATGTCTGGATTTCGCTTGAAATTCCTTGTTTATGCAAAAATGCGCAGACAGTTTATTCCGGTATTTTTTTACATGCGTAACTGTGTTTAAAAAATTCCACATCATCCGTGTTTTTTCCTGTAAACGTGATGTTGGAAGAAAAATTAATTATCGTTTCTTTTGTTGTGTTCGTTCCCATGGACTTAACATTGAAATGCCATTTCCGATGTAGCAACGTTTCATTTTTATTTACAACAACATTTAAGGTTTTTGTCAAGATGAGTGCAGAAGTTCAAGGATCGTGTGTGTAAACAGGACGAAAAGCGAATAAATTAAACGAAGGTTTTACCGTTCGAATAAAACTGCATTCCTGTGATATTTTTTAATTTTTTTATTCACTTTGTTAAAAAAGGTAGAGTTTTCTTGCTTCTAAAGTGGACGCGTTAATGGGATTCATGATATTTTTCTTGAAACTGGATTTGTGGTTAAAAATGGAAGTGTTTATGAAAATACTTCAAAAACAAGACGATAAAGGTTGCTTTGGTTCTTTTAATCTTATGCCAAAACAACACACTAATTACCCCCGATATTTTCAAATTAAAAACAAAACATGGAGGAATCCCGAAATTCTTTCTCAACTTTTTTAAGAAACAGAACACGAGATTATTTTAAATTCTAAAAAAAAAACACTAGGGACCTGAGAATTCTTATAATTTCTTTCAAAAACAGCCACCAAGAGTCCCGAGATTCTTTTTTTTTAGAGATAAAACACTATAAGGCCTAATACTACAGATCTGAAGATTTTTTCATTAAAAAAAAACACCAGGGATCCGAGATTCTTTCAAAATTCTCAAAAAAACACACTAGAATCAAGATTCTTTTTCAACAGGGCCTCGAAGTTCTTTCAAAATATTACGAAAATTAATTCTAACAAAAAAATACTAGGAACCTTAAGATTCTTTCAAATTCTAAGAAAAAACGCTAGGATCCTCAAGAGTCTTTCAAATTAAAAAAAACACAGGGGCCTCGAGATTCTTTAAAATTCTTTCAAAAACTAAACACTCTAAGTCTTCGAGATTCTTTCAAATTCGTTCAAAAACTGAACACTCAAAGCCTTCGGGATTTATGCAAATTCTAACATAAAACACTAGGATTCTTAAGATTCTTTTAAATTCTTTCAAAAACTAAACACTCTGAGTCTCCAAGATTCTTTCAAATTCTAACATAAAACACTAGGATTCTAAAGGTTCTTTCAAATGCTTTCAAAAACTAAACACTCTGAGACTTCAAGATTGTTTAAAGAAGTACTAGAATTCTCAAGATTCTTTCAAATTATTTCAAAAACTAAACTGAGATTCCGAGTCTTTCAAATTCTGACAAAAAATATTGGGATCCTCAAGATTCTTTCAAATTCTTTCAAAAACTAAACCGTCTAAGTCTCCGAGATTATTTTCAAATTCTTTCAATAACTAAATACTCCAAGCATTCGAGGTTCTTTCAAATTCTAACATAAAACGCTAGGATTCTCAAGATTCTTTCAAATCCTAACAAAAAACGCTAGGATCCTCAAGAATCTATCAAATTCTTTCAAAAACTAAACACTCTAAGCCTTCAAGATCTTTAAAAAAAAAACACTAGAATTCTCAAGATTCTTTCAAATTCTTTCAAAAACTAAACACTCTGACCTCCGAGTTCTTCCAAATTCTAACAAAAACCACTAGCATTCTCAAGATTGTTTGAAATTCTATCAAAAAACGCTAGGATCCTCAGGAATCTTTTAAATTAAAAAAAAATACGGAAACCTCGATTCTTTCAAATTCTTTAAAAAATTAAACACTGAGTCTCCGAGATTCTTTCAAATTCTTTCAAAACTAAACACTTTAAACCTGCGAGATTATTTTAAATTCTAACATAGAATACTAAAATTCTCAAGATTTTTCAAATTCTAAGAAAAAACAATAGGAACCTCAAAATTTTTTCAAATTCTTTCAAAAACTAAACACTCTAAGCCTTCGAGATTCTTTCAAATTCTAAGATAAGACACTAGGATTCCCCAAATCCTTTCAAAAACTAAACACTATGATCTTCGGGATTCTTTCAAATTCTTTCAAAACTAAACACTTCAAGCCTTCGAGATTCTTTCAAATTCTAACATAAATCACTAGGATTCTCAAGATTGTTTCACATTCTAACAAAAATCACTGGCAAATTAAAGATTCTTTCAAATTCTAACAAAAAGCGCTAGAATCCTCAAGAATCTTTTAGTTAAGAAAAATACGGAAACCTCGAGATTCTTCCAAATTCTTTAAAAAATTCTGAGTCTCCGAGATTCTTTCAAATTTTTTCAAAACTAAACACTCCAAACCTGCGAGATTCTTTTAATTCTAACATAGAATACTAAAGTTCTCAAGAGTTTTCAAATTCTAACAAAAAACAATAGGAACCTTAAGATTCTTTTAAATTCTTTCAAAAACTAAACACTCTAAGCCTTCGAGATTCTTTCAAATTCTAACATAAGACACTAGGATTATCCAAATTCTTTCAAAAACTAAATACTCCAAGCCTTCGAGATTTATTCAAATTCTATCAATAAACATTAGGATTCTCAAGATCCTCTCAAATTCTTTCAAAAACTAAACACTATGATCTTCGGCATTCTTTCAAATTCTAACATAAATCACTAGGATTCTCAAGATTGTTTGAAATTCTAACAAAAAACACTAGGATCCTCAGGAATCTTGAAATAAAAAAAACAGGAACCTCGAGTTTGTTTCAACTTTTTTCAAAAACTAAACACTCTGAGCCTTCAAGATTCTTACAAATAAAACACTAGAATTCCCAAGATTCTTTCAAATTATGTCAAAAACTAAACACTCTGATTATTTCAAATTCTAAAAGAAAACACTAGGATCCTCAAGATTCTTTCAAATTCTAAAAGAAAACAATAAGATCCTGAAGATTCTTTCAAATTCTTCCAAAAACTAAACACTCTGATATTTCGAGATTCTTTCAAAAAAAAACCTAGTGTTGATCTTGAGGACTCTAGCAAGATTCTTAACAATTCTTTCAGAAATTGATTCTCCGAGATTCTTACAAATTTTAACAAAAAACGCTGAAAATCTCAAGATTCTTTCAAATTAAAAAAAACTCTAAAAGCAAAACACTAGAAACATCGAAGTTCTTTCAAAATTCTCAAAAAAAAACACACTAGAATCAAGATTCTTTTTCAAGAAGGCCCCGAGGTTCTTTGAAAATGTTTCGAAAATTAATTCTAACAAAAAAACATTAGGAACATCAAGATTCTTTCAAATTCTTTCAAAAACTAAACACACTGACTTTTCAACATTCTTTCACATAAAACACTAAAATTCTCAAGTTTCTTTTAAATTCTTTCAAAAACTAAACACTCCAAGCTTTCGGGATTTATGCAAATTATAACATAAAACACTAGGATTCTTAAGATTATTTTAAATTCTTTCAAAAACTAAACACTCTTAGTCTCCAAGATTCTTTCAAATTCCAACATAAAACACTAGAATTCCCAAGATTCTTTTAAATTCTTTCAAAAACTAAACACTCTGACCACCGAGTTCTTCCAAATTCTAACAAAAAACACTAGCAAACTCAAGATTCTTTCAAATTCTAACAAAGAGCGCTAAAATCCTCAAGAATCTTTTAAATTAAAAAAAAATACGGAAACCTCGAGATTCTTTCAAATTCTTTCAAAACTAAACACTCCAAACCTTCGAGATTCTTATAAATTCTAACATAAAATACTAAAATTCTCAAGATTATTCAAGTTCTAACAAAAAACAATAGAAACCTCAAGATTCATTCAAATTTTTTCAAAAACTAAACACTCTAGGCTTTCGAGATTCTTTCAAATTCTAACATAAGACACTAGGATTCTCCAAATTCTTTCAAAAACTAAACACTCCAAGCCTTCGAGATTTATTCAAATTCTATCATATGAAACATTAGGATTCTCAAGATTCTTTCAAAAACTAAATACTCCAAGCCTTCGAGATTTATTCAAATTCTATCATATACAACATTAGGATTCTCAAAATTCTTTTAAATTTTTTCAAAAACTAAACACTATAAGTCTTCGAGATTCTTTCAAATTCTTTCAAAACTAAACACTTCAAGCTTTCGAGATTCTTTCAAATTCTAACATAAATCACTAGGATTCTCAAGATTGTTTGAAATTCTAACAAAAACGCTAGAATCCTCAGAAATCTTTCAAATTAAAAAAAAACACAGGAAACTCCAGATTCTTTCAAATTTTTTCAAAAACTAAACACTCTGAGCCTTCAAGATTCTTACAAATAAAACACTAGAATTCCAAAGATTCTTTCAAATTATGTCAAAAACTAAACACTCTGATTCTTTCAAATTCTAAAAGAAAACACTAGGATCCTCAAGATTCTTTGTAATTGAAAAAAATACAGGGATCTCGAGATTCTTTCAAATTTTTCAAAAACTGAATACGCTGAGCCTCTGAGATTATTTCAAATTCTTTCAAAAACTAAACACTCCAATCCTTCGAGATTCTTTTAAATTCTAACATAGAATACTAGGATTCTTAAGATTTTTTCAAATTCTAACAAAAAAACATAGGAACCTCAAGATTCTTTCAAATTCTATCAAAACTAAACACTTTAAGCCTTCGAGATTCTTTCAAACCCTAAGAGAAAACACTAGGAACCTCAAGGTTCTTTCAAATTCTAACAAAAAGCGCTAGGAACCTCAAGAATCTTTCAAATTAAAAAAAAACACAGGAAACTCCAGATTCTTTCAAATTTTTTCAAAAACTAAACACTCTGAGCCTTCAAGATTCTTACGAATAAAACACTAGAATTCCAAAGATTCTTTCAAATTATGTCAAAAACTAAACACTCTGATTCTTTCAAATTCTAAAAGAAAACACTAGGATCCTCAAGATTCTTTGTAATAAAAAAATACAGGGATCTCGAGATTTTTTCAAATTCTTTCAATAATTGAACACTCTGAACCATGAAATAAAACACTAGAATCGTCAAGATTCTTTTAAATTTTTTCAAAAACTGAATACGCTGAGCCTCTGAGATTCTTTCAAATTCTTTCAAAAACTAAACACTCCAATCCTTCGAGATTCTTTTAAATTCTAACATAGAATACTAGGATTCTTAAGATTTTTTCAAATTCTAACAAAAAACATAGGAATCTCAAGATTCTTTAAAATTCTTTCAAAACTAAACACTTTAAGTGTTCGAGATTCTTTCAAATTCTAAGAGAAAACTCTAGGAAACACAAGATTCTTTCAAATTCTAACAAAAAGCGCTAGGAACCTCAAGAATCTTTCAAATTAAAAAATACTCAGGAAACTCCAGATTCTTTCAAATTCTTTCAAAAACTGAACACGCTGAGCCTCTGAGATTCTTTCAAATTCTTTCAAAAACTAAACACTCCAATCCTTCGAGATTCTTTTAAATTCTAACATGGAATACTAGGATTCTTAAGATTTTTTCAAATTCTAACAAAAAAACATAGGAACCTCAAGATTCTTTCAAATTATTTCAAAACTAAACACTTTAAGCCTTCGAGATTCTTTCAAATTCTAAGAGAAAACACTAGGAACCTCAAGATTCTTTCAAATTCTAACAAAAAGCGCTAGGAACCTCAAGAATCTTTCAAATTAAAAAATACTCAGGAAACTCCAGATTCTTTCAAACTCTTTCAAAAACTAAACACTCTGAGCCTTCAAGATTCTTACAAATAAAGCACTAGAATTCCAAAGATTCTTTCAAATTATGTCAAAAACTAAACACTCTGATTCTTTCAAATTCTAAAAGAAAACACTACAATCCTCAAGATTCTTTGCAATAAAAAAAATACAGGGATCTCGAGATTTTTTCAAATTCTTTCAATAATTGAACACTCTGAACCATGAAATAAAACACTAGAATCGTCAAGATTCTTTCAAATTTTTTCAAAAACTGAATACGCTGAGCCTCTGAGATTCTTTCAAATTCTTTCAAAAACTAAACACTCCAATCCTTCGAGATTCTTTTAAATTCTAACATAGAATACTAGGATTCTTAAGATTTTTTCAAATTCTAACAAAAAACATAGGAATCTCAAGATTCTTTCAAATTCTTTCAAAACTAAACACTTTAAATCTTCGAGATTCTTTCAAATTCTAAGAGAAAACACTAGGACACTCAAGATTCTTTCAAATTCTAACAAAAAGCGCTAGGAACCTCAAGAATCTTTCAAATTAAAAAATACACAGGAAACTCCAGATTCTTTCAAATTCTTTCAAAAACTAAACACTCTGAGCCTTCAAGATTCTTACAAATAAAACACTAGAATTCCCAAGATTCTTTCAAATTATGTCAAAAACTAAACACTCTGATTCTTTCAAATTCTAAAAGAAAACACTAGGATCCTCAAGATTCTTTGAAATTGAAAAAAATACAGAGATCTCGAGATTCTTTCAAATTCTTTCAATAATTGAACACTCTGAGCCATAAAATAAAACACTAGAATCGTCAAGATTCTTTCAAATTTTTTCAAAAACTGAACACGCTGAGCCTCTGAGATTCTTTCAAATTCTTACAAAAACTAAAGACTCCAATCCTTCGAGATTCTTTTAAATTCTAACATAGAATACCAGGATTCTTAAGATTTTTTCAAATTCTAACAAAATAACATAGGAATCTCAAGATTCTTTCAAATTCTTTCAAAACTAAACACTTTAAGCCTTCGAGATGCTTTCAAATTCTAAGAGAAAACACTAGGAATCTCAAGATTCTTTCAAATTCTAACAAAAAGCGCTAGGAACCTCAAGAATCTTTCAAATTAAAAAATACACAGGAAACTCCAGATTCTTTCAAATTCTTTCAAAAACTAAACACTCTGAGCCTTCAAGATTCTTACAAATAAAACACTAGAATTCCCAAGATTCTTTCAAATTATGTCAAAAACTAAACACTCTGATTCTTTCAAATTCTAAAAGAAAACACTGGGATCCTCAAGATTCTTTGAAATAAAAAAAATACAGGGATCTCAAGATTCTTTCAATTTCTTTCAATAATTGAACACTCTGAGCCTTGAAGATTCTTACAAATAAAACACTAGAATCCTCATGATTCTGTCAAATGTTTTCAAAAACTGAACACGCTGAGCTTCTGAGATTCTCTCAAATTCTTTCAAAAACTAAACATCCTAATCCTTCGAGATTCTTGTAAATTCTAACATAGAATACTAGGATTCTCAAGATTTTTTCAAATTCTAACAAAAAACATAGGAACCTCAAGATTCTTTCAAATTCTTTCAAAACTAAACACTTTAAGCCTTCGAGATTCTTTAAAATTCTAAGAGAAAACACTAGGAACCTCAAGATTCTTTCAAATTCTAACAAAGACCGCTAGGAACCTCAAGAATTTTTCAAATTAAAAAAAACACAGGAAACTCCAGATTCTTTCAAATTCTTTCAAAAACTAAACACTCTGAGCCTTCAAGATTGTTTAAAAAAAACACTAGAATTCTTAAGCTTCTTTCAAATTTTTTCAAAAACTAAACACTCTAAGCCTCCGAGATTCTATCAAATTCTAACAAAAAACTCTAAGATCCCCAAGATTCTTTCAACTTATAAAAAAACACAGGGACATCGAGATCCTTTCAAATTCTAAAAGAAAACAAGAGGATCCTCAAGATTCCTTCAAATTCTTTCAAAAACTAAACACTCTGACCTTTCGAGATTCTTTCAAAAAACCTAGTATTGATCTTGAGGACCCTAGCAAGATTCTTTCAAATTCTGTCAAAAATTAGACACTCTGATTCTCCGAGATTCTTACAAATTTTAACAAAAAACGCTGGGAATCTCAAGATTCTTTCAAGTTAAAAAAGAACTCTAAAAGCAAAACACTAGAAGCCTCGAAGTTCTTTCAAAATTCTTTAAAAAACATTAGGATTCTCAAAATTCTTTCAAATTAAAAAAAAACAAAGTGAACCCCCGAGATTCTTCCAAAGTTCTTTCAAAAACAAAACACTAGAGACTACAAGATATTTGAAACACCGAAATTCTTCCGAATTCTTCAGAAAAAAAACTAATAGCCCAAAATTCTCTCAAAAAAAAAAGCATTAGAAGCCCCAAAATACACAAACTATTTTAAGATTCTTATCAAATTTTTCAAAAAAAAACACAGATTTTTTCAAAGTGTTTAAAAAGGACACTAAGATACTCAAAAATCTTTCAAAATGTTCCAAAAAAAAAAAGCCCGTGAAACTCTTTCAAAATATAACAATATTTTATTGATAACAATACAAAGTTTTCTAAACTGTTTCTATAGTAAAAATTAACGCTAAAGTAACAAACTAAAACTCTGACACCATGTGATTTCGTAAAATTTAAACAAAACAAATGTCCGTGACGATTTACCGTGACTACTAACTATAAACTTAACGCGTTTACGTGCGTTTTACAGTTTCTTATAAGTTAAATTGACAATTGTTGTTTCAATCATAAAAAACCCTGTTTACGTATTTTATAAACATGCAAAAGTGAAATTTGATAAAACAAACATTTAGGTTGCAATTAGCACAAATGCAAAAATTGCTGTGTAAATACAGTCGCTGGTTTATTACATTATTATAACTAGTACCCCTTTCATTTTTTTTGTTTGTTTTTTTAATTAACACAGTAGATTCCAGCCAAATCACAATAATTACCTCGATCTCTTCCCGCAAAACAATACAGGTGACTGGCATTGACATGGAAGAGTCTCTAAACACTGCAATTATCGTTGATAAAATTATACAGTTAACCTTCATTAATATTTATTCATTTAATAGGTATGACGCGAAATAAATTACAACTTGTCTTCAAATACCTGAATAACACACTCATTAAAAATCACATCCTGAATTTTTATTGCTTTATTAGCAGATATAACACAGAGAAAGTAGTTTGAACAAATCCGCTCCGGCAAAATTTCCCTTCGAAAAAAAAATGACTAAAAACGCAAAAATTCCAATTACGATACAACGATAAAATTATCGCTTTTAACGCACTCTCAAAAATTTTAACAACTCGCAATCGCAATAAACTGTCGACTTTCATGAACAATTATTTGCGCGCCCACCCGAATTACAAAATTTGGAGGTTGTGTAGCGATTTTTTATTTATTGGAAGAAATACTCACGGTTTCACGAAATCGTAACTGGAACGAGTCTCCGCACTCACAAAGTCATGTTAATCCGTTGCACTTTCGGTACTGGAAAAGACTGACCGGAGTTATCAGTGCAATTAATTCGCGTTTAAATCCGGGGAGTACTATATTGTTAAAATCAGTCCCACTATCGAGCATTACGTCACATTTCCCACTACCACAGGTGCCTTGCAATCAAAATGTCATTAGCGCGAATGTGATTGGACACACGAGGAAAATTTTATAGCAAGGATTGTAAATTTTGAGGTAACTGATGATTTTTCATTATTTCTGTTAAATGCGGACGGGTTAAAATGTGTGGTAAAGTAAAGACGATAAAGATGCGCCGATTTGGTAGCAACAATGTGGTGATCCGCCTCATTATATTGTTTTTTCCTCAGTTGATTTTTTTTAACTATCTTTTATACCTGTTTTCGATATTGGTAATAGAATTAATCAACTCTGGGATTTCTTTGCGCTACTGTTGTCGAACCTGATTCAGATACTTGGCAACAGGAAGTAAGGTGGGGTGACAGTTCTACCAACTTCAAGCAAAATTTATTGAAACCAAATAAAACGATTTTTTTCTAATTTAATCAACATCAATTAAAATTTGTTTTTTTTTTGACTGTTTAAGTCATTTAGGATCAATTTTTTTCATATTTGAAGGAACATTATGTAAAAACCGAAATAGTCCTTCACCTCATTATACTGTTTTTTTTTTTGTTTTCACGAGATTCTTTTACTTTTTTTAATAGTTTTGATTAACTAATTTCCTTCTATTTTTGATTTTCTTTGTTTTAAAATCCACACAAACCAAGTTTTTTAGAATTTTCCCAAGAAATTAATATTGATTCAAAAATTTTTTTATCGTCCCCTGCAGAAAATGAATAACGTCATCGTAAAACTTTGGGGAAGACAGTCCTATTTTAGAGGTTTTGTTTTGACTGTCTAAATATATAATTTAAGATCAATATTTTTCTTATTTGAAGGAACGTTATGTCAAAAACCAGATAGTTTTCCGCTTCAATATTTTGATTTTTTTTTGTTTTCAGGAGATTCCTTTAGTTTTTTTATACTTTTGGTTTATTAATTTCTTCGCATTTTTGACTTTCTAACTTTTAAAATCCACAGGAACCGAATTATTTGGAATTTTGCCGAGAAGCCAACATTGATTCAAAATTTGTTTAGTCGTCCCCTGCATAAAATGAATGACGTCATCGTAAAAATTTGGGGAAGACAGTTCTATTTTAGCGTTTTTTTTTTTTGGACTGTTTAAATAATTTAAGATTTTTTTTTTTCTTAATCCAAGGAACGTTATGTCAAAAACCAGATAGTTTTCCACCTCAATATACTGCTTTTTTTTTTGTTTTCAGTAGATTCTTTTACTTTTTTTTATACTTTTGATTTATTAATTCCCTCCCATTTTTAACTTTCTAACTTTTAAAATCCACAAGAATCGTATTATTTGGAATTTTGCCGAGAAGCCAACATTGATTCAAAATTTGTTTAGTCGTCCCCTGCATAAAATGAATGACGTCTCGTAAAAATTTGGGGAAGACAGTTCTATTTTAGAGTTTTTTTTTTGGACTGTCTAAATACATAATTTAAGATCAATATTTTTCTTATTTGAAGGAACGTTATGTCAAAAACCAGATAGTTCTCCACCTCAATATATTGTTTTTTTTTGTTTTCAGGAGATTCTTTTACTTTTTTTTTATACTTTTGGTTTATTAATTTCCTCCTATTTTTGACTTTCTAACTTTTAAAATCCACAGGAACCGAATTATTTGGAATTTTGCCGAGAAGCCAACATTGATTCAAAATTTGTTTAGTCGTCCCCTGCAGAAAATTAATGACGTCATCGTAAAAATTTGGGGAAGACAGTCCTATTTTTGAGTTTTTTTTCGACTGCCTAAATATATAATTTAAGATCAATATTTTTCTTATTTGTAGGAACGTTATGTCAAAAACCAGGTAGTTCTCCACCTCAATGTACTGTTTTTTTTTTGTTTTCAGGAGATTCTTTTACTTTTTTTTATACTTTTGATTTATTAATTTCCTCCTATTTTTACCTTTCTAACTTTTAAAATCCACAGGAACCGAATTATTTGGAATTTTGCCGAGAAGCCAACATTGATTCAAAATTTGTTTAGTCGTCCCCTGCAGAAAATGAATGACGTCATCGTAAAAATTTGGGGAAGACAGTCCTATTTTAGAGTTTTTTTTTGGACTGTCGAAATATATAACTTAAGATCAAAATTTTTCTTATTTGAAGGAACGTTATGTCAAAAACCAGATAGTTCTCCACCTCAATATACTGTTTTTTTTTTTGTTCTCAGGAGATTCTTTTGCTTTTTTTATACTTTTGATTTATTAGTTGTCTCCTATTTTTTACTTTCTAACTTTTAAAATCCACAGGAACCGAATTATTTGAAATTTTGCCGAGAAACCAATATTGATTCAAAATTTGTTTAGTCGTCCCCTACAGAAAATGAATGACGTCATCGTAAAAATTTGGGGAAGACAGTCCTATTTTAGAGTTTTTTTTGGACTGTCTAAATACATAATTTAAGATCAATATTTTTCTTATTTGAAGGAACGTTATGTCACAAACCAGATAGTTCTCCACCTCAATATATTGTTTTTTTTTTGTTTTCAGGAGATTCTTTTACTTTTTTTTTATACTTTTGGTTTATTAATTTCCTCCTATTTTTGACTTTCTAACTTTTAAAATCCACAGGAACCGAATTATTTGGAATTTTGCCGAGAAGCCAACATTGATTCAAAATTTGTTTAGTCGTCCCCTGCAGAAAATGAATGACGTCATTGTAAAAATTTGGGGAAGACAGTCCTATTTTAGAGTTTTTTTTGGACTGTCTAAATATATAATTTAAGATCAATATTTTTCTTATTTGAAGGAACGTTATGTCAAAAACCGGATAGTTCTCCACCTCAATATACTGTTTTTTTTTTGTTTTCAGGAGATTCTTTTACTTTTTTTTATACTTTTGATTTATTAATTGCCTCTCATTTTCAACTTTCTAACTTTTAAAATCCACAGGAACCGAATTATTTGGAATTTTGCCGAGAAGCCAACATTGATTCAAAATTTGTTTAGTCGTCCCCTGCAGAAAATGAATGACGTCATCGTAAAAATTTGGGGAAGACAGTCCTATTTTAGACTTTTTGTTTGGACTGTCTAAATATATAATTTAAGATCAATATTTTTCTTATTTGAAAGAACGTTATGTCAAAAACCAGATAGTTCTCCACCTCAATATAGTGTTTTTTTTTTGTTTTCAGGAAATTCTTTTACTTTTTTTTATACTTTTGATTTATTAATTTCCTCCTATTTTTAACGTTCTAACTTTTAAAATCCACAGGAACCGAATTATTTGGAATTTTGCCGAAAAGCTAACATTGATTAAAAATTTGTTTAGTCGTCCCATGCAGAAAATGAATGACGTCATCGTAAAAATTTGGGGAACACAGTACTAGTTTTGATTTTTTTTTTGGACTTTCTAAATAATTTAAAATTTGTTTCTTAATTGGAGGAATATTATGTGAAGAATAAATGATTTTTCACCTTAATATACTTTTTTTTTGTTTACAAAGTTAATGACGTCGTCGTAAAAATTCAACTAACACTGAATTTACAGAACATCGATTAAAATTTGCTTATTTTTCAGCCTACTAACTTCCGAAATCAACCACTAAGTATCTTTAAGAATAAACTTAAGAGTTTTTTTACAACTAAATGTTTTTACACCTTTGATGAATACCTAAAATAAGGATTTCGATTGTTTGAGTATGTAAGTAGGTAGCCTAAGCAATTAATGACCTGTGGAAAACAATTTCTTTTTAACACCAATAAATTATCTTATCTTATCTTATCTATTTTTAACTTTATTTGTTGTAAAATCAAGACCAACCGAATTGATTTTAATATTATAAAACATCGATTAAAATTTGTTTATTCGTCCCTTTTAGAAAGTTAATGACCTCATCGTAAAAATTCAAGGAAAACAGCACTGTTTTTATTTTCTTTTTGTACTGTGTAAATAATTTAGAATTTTTTTTTTCTTATTTGAAGAAACATTATGTAAAAGACAAGATAGTTCCATCTCATTACACCGTTTTTAATTTTCTTTCACCGAATTTTTTAAAATTTTGGAAGTTGGGTTGAAAAATCGAAAGTTAATCGGGACAGTATCAATTTTATTTTTTTGTACTGTCTAAACATTTTTTTTTTTTTTGGAACAACATACAAACGTTTTCCGACTTTCTGTGAGTGACATTCCTACAACACTTTTTCTAAAACCCAACCCAAACAAAAATCATTGTAATCAAGACCGACTCCATTTTGCAATGTTCGTTTCAATGTTAAAGTGAGCAGTTCGCATTCATATTCAAAGTAATGGGGAAGTGCAGACGAGTTTTGAATACTTTTCGTATCTTTACATTGACTCGTGTTCGACTAATCGACTCTGATAATGGTTTCCTTGACTTTAAAAACGACCATCTGCGGTTTTGTTTTAACTTTTTTGGTTTCAACAGAATTATGAAAAAAGCAGCTGAAAAAATGTGTTTTAAAATTCCTGTTCCTCGTGGCAACATAAATCATAAAAAAAGGAAATTCCACGTATCTCGTGTGTTACATAAAAAGAATAATTATACTCTAATTGAGCGCGATACAGTGGGAATTCGAATGAAGGCTGACAATGCTCTATTAATAGCACGCCCTCTGAGAAAAATAAAAAATATTCCAAAAAATCGGAAAAATCACCGTGCCTTATCTGTTTAGGTATACTTCAATTTTTACTACTATACAATTATACAAGGCGATTTTTCTACTATAAGTTCGACTGTAACACATTAAATAATACAGTGCATGATTTCTTAAAAGACCAGGATGCAGCAAAAACAATATTTCTTACCTCGCACGTCATTTGGAGTCCTTTTCCCGCACTCGTCTCCAAAGGTACCACTTTCCGTATCATTCAAACTCCGAGCGCATCTCTTGCAGTTATAGGTCAGTAGTACCTCGGTACTTAATATGAATTTAGCACGCGTGTCGTACCAGCAACATTTACGCTGATAACACACCACGGTACT